AATTATATTTTATTTGGAAAAATATATAAATAAACATTTGCTGTAAATTTAAATTTATTTATTCAAAATGCGAATTTTCAATAGATTTTTTGTAGCCTTGATATTTTGTTAATATATTACATTTCCAAAATATTTCAGCTTCCCAGGTAGGATTGAATATCGTTTTACAAATTTGTCAACAAATGAACTGAGGCGGTCGCAGTTTAATCATAAATATATTGTTCAATTATAGCCTTACTGCCAACTTTGACAACTAACCTCTAATAGTTAACATTAACTCAATTAGCGCGCAAGTTATTTTATCAAACTTAAGCTCTTAAAATAAAATATAAGCACTCATTATGTTGGCTAAGATCATTTTTGTAGATTCACAATGAAATGATCAAAATGATTCGTCATTAAGAGAGTTAAGATATATATGCTAATAATTAACACATCTGCAGATCGCATCACTTCCTTCATATATATTTCTTATTTTTGTCTTATATATGAAATTCGACTTTGATCAAAAGAGAAGAGAAAACAAAACTAATTTGTCATCTTCAAACACGCTTTTTGGCAGTAGCGGCTTTAAACGTGGCCCATAAATATGCCCGAAACAGAGAATTGAATCAAGTTCAGCATTTTAAAGTAATAAATTTAAGCTTAACTCGACTCTTGGCTATATGTAATACATACATACATATATATGAATCGGGTCTGCGCACTGGATTGAAATCGAATTAAACTTTATTGTCTACCAATTTACACAGTTTCAACGGATGAAGCCAAAACAGAAACAAGAAATCCCATATGAAATTGATGCAAATTTATTTATAAATCCATAACAACAACAACGTTAATAAATAYTGCTATGAAAACCAAATTATTGAACCCGACGGAACCGCACTTTTACTTTTGACGAGATCAACATGATCTTCATAAACACACAGAGTCAATACGCAGAGATCTACGATAATGTGGCATGGCTGAGTTGGTAAATTAAAAGTGGTTAAGTGCGGAAAGACAATGAAAAATAACATAAATCACAAAACTAGAAAAAAAGTGAGGGAGGTGCAGGCAAACGAACAATTAATACTCTTTATGCAAGAGATTTGAGTTAAGGTTGGAATATTGTAAAATGAGTGGGATGAGTAGGAGATATTAAAATAATGTTGAGAGAAGAGAAAATAATAATAACAATTCAACAACACAAAGAGAGAGAGAGAGAGAGAAATAAAATCACTGATAATACTATATAAAATAATGTATCTTGGTAATGACAAATTTGATTCAGATATCTTCATTCCATCACTTCATAATCCAATCCTAAGTTACTGTGAACTCAATGTTATTTGCGAAATATATACATAGATCAATCAACAAAAAAAAAGCAAGCAAACAGCTGAACTAATTTATCTACCTGACTGTTGTCAGCATTCAGATTCTCATCTATCACTAGAGTACATAAATCATGAGTTCAACTTAGTACCCTCTAAAAAGCGCATCCAAATGAGCGGAAAAGATTTTCACGGCCCCCGCGGAATGATTTCTGTGCATGTGCCAACGTAAAAGTTGGCTCCCTAACGATGACAAAAGCGAGACCCAAGTGATAGCCAAATTATTCCACAAGCAAGCGAACGCTGAAGTGGCGAGCGACGATAACATATACAGGCAGAAATATCTCCACAATCATATATGTATAGGGGAAGACAAAGAAAGAGATAGCCAGCGAGGGAGAAGGAAAGTTATGAAATTTAAATGTTACAGCGAATCCAGAGGCAAGCGATGCCACAATTACAACTCAATAATAGGCAAAACGAGTTTTGCTGCCGCTGACGCAGCTCTCGTTTGGCTCTTCTGTCGAAGAAGTCTAACACTGTGATCTGCGCGGCAACTGTCTCAATCATTTGCCAGACGGCGACGCGTGCACAACACGAAACACGGGCAGTTCCACAATTTCCGAGCTGACACTTCGATGGCCAACCTGATGCTGCTCGTCGTGACGGTAAGCGGCGACGTGCGGCCTAATGAGCCAACCAAGCCTCATTAATATTAATGTGTAAATGTTTTGAAAAATTGTATTAGCTGGCGCTACTGAGCTGCGCCGAGTCACAGATCACCTACAACTATCCGCACCCGAAGATACCCTTCCGCCCGCCTGCAGCAATTCCAAACGCGGCGACCAAGTATGTGGTGCAAGCCCTTGGACGCACCTACGAGCTGCAATCGCAGAAGTCGCCAGCGGTCTACACGGCACATCAAACGTACACGGTGCCCAATCGTCAGCTGCAGCAACAGCAGCAACTGCAACAGCAACAGCAGCGACAGTTGCAACAGCAACAGCAGCGACAGTTGCAACAGCAGCAGCAGCTGCAACAGCAGCGTCAACTGCAGTACCACCAACAGCAACGCCAGCAACAGCAGCAGCAGCAGCACCAGCAGCTTAGCAATCCTTTGTTGGTTAACCGCCAGCCCCAGTTCTTGGCTCTCTCACCACCGCGGCCTGCCACAGTCCAGGAAATCAACTACAATTACCTCCCGCCTCAGCCACAGCCGCAATCGCAGCCGCAGCAACCGTTAGTTGCCAGCTACTACAGACAGCCGCAGCCGGTGGCAGTGACCAGAGCTCAGGTGCAGCCAGCGGTCACTTATGTGCCACCGCCGCCACCAGCGCAGCCGGAGCAGTCCGACAGCAATCCACTGCCCTATGCCGTTGTCACACTGCCCAATGGCCAGCAAGTGCAGGACGGCGGTCATGGCAATGGCCCAGTGCTGCCCGTGGTCGAGCAGCAGGCGGCACCAAAACGCGTTGGCGACTATAGCGGCCAGTCGCAGAGCGCCATGCTGGATGCCTACGACTACAAGCAGTCGGTGGCAGGTGAGTCGCGCGGCTATAAGCGCCTCGTGACCAACTGCGAGCCCAACGGACAGTGCCAGCAGCTGCAGCTGGAGCCGGGTCAGATCGATGCCAACCACTTTGAAGTGCTGAAGAAGGCTCGAGCCAAAACGGTGAGCCTTAAGAATAACTCCCAGGACAACCAGCTGTCGCAGGCTGCAGAGGCGAACGCCAATGGCCAGCGGACACCGCACGACAGACGCGCATATCAGCACTTGCATGAGCAGCTGGATGTGTATCCCTATAACTAAATACATCTAAAGTACATTTAAGAGGAATATTCTAAATATTTTGTTGACATTTTGTTAATCCGTTCTATTATATTGCCTTTAAAATCCTCTTATCCTCAATATTTTATTTGGCCTTATTTTCTTACGGTAAGCTATTGACTTCAATTAAATTTGCACTTAAATTACACTCAAAGGACACCCGTGTATAGGAGTAAAGAAGAGTAAAGAAACATATATGTATTTGTGACAAACAAATATTATTTTTCTCAGTTTTTATAATATATAATAATGTTTATTGCAGCCATACTCCAGTAACCCCTTTGTGAGCTTATTGGCTACTTATTCTAACTTTTAAGCCACATATAAGCAAGGTAAGTAAGTAAGAATATAATATCATTATTGTGCAAAACCTATTCCCAATTTACCCATATGGAATAGCGCTATGTGAATCTGTGGCGCGTTATCGAGCTGACTAACTTATGGGGAGCTACATGAAGGTCTAGGGACTCTCACAGTAGTTGAGCTCATTGGGCTTCAAAGCTTTAGAAACGTGGGTAGACACAGCTGCAGATAGCAACAAAGACTGAGAGCACATCTAAATCAGCTCTCATCTCAACAGAGTGCAACTGAAAATTTGCAAACTCAGTAGCTGCTCAAACTCACAGCGAAAAAATTCAATTATTACAATCAAATTTATTTTTTTTTACTAGAGTGCCTCTTAGGGATTAATAAAAGTTAAGAGTTAAAAAAAGCAAAACAAAAAAAAAATAATAATAATAAAAAACAAAATAAATAATAAATAAATAAATACAAACTAAAATTTAAGCACATATATGATCTATGTATACTGGCCTTCTGGCGACCCAAAGTATTAAGGTAAGGACGACTACAACAGACGGACTGACAGTTAGGGGTGCATTTCCCAAAACCAATATACCCTTTACGCTTCATGAATGTGTATTTAAAATTAAAACAAAAAAAAAAGCTTAAGACCCGCTGGAGACTTTCTACTGTCAATTCAAATGATTTTCTCATCAAGCCTAAAAATGTGCAATATTTTTCAATTAAGTCATAGCAAAACTTTTTTTTTTTTTTTTCTTATTGGTTCTGTATATGCTGATTGTCAAGCCTCAGACAAACTTGTTAAAACTAAAATCTGAAAGCGCGTTTCATAGTTACTGTGCTGGTCAATAAAGCATAAAGAGTAATTGAAATGCCAGCAAATTTAAAGAAATGAAGCTTTATACACATATGTATCAATCTAGTAGCGATTCGTTTTGGCTTTCATAACTATGAGCGTTTTATACACTTACAAAGAACAGTTTCAATTACTAAAATTCCAACTAGAAACTCACATTAGATTTCCTGCTGGAGTCGACTCGGCCACTCAATCGTGCTTAGCATCAAGCAACAACCATAAAAGGCAATTTGAAATAGATTTTGGCCACAAAGAATTCTTCATTTCGCCTTAATTGGGAAATATTTGATATTAAATTACTGTAAAACCCAAACAAATCGAAACCTGCTCCAAAGACAGCCCGAGCTCTTCTTGTTGAGTCATTTGTTTAGCATTCGAGTGGGACATACCAAGAAATAGCATCATTTCTAGTTTGTTTGTTTTTGTTTTTTTTTTCGTACTTGTTGTTATTTTATTTTATCTCTTAGTTAGTTACCAAATGGAAACACGTTTCTGGCCCCGACGTCATAGTGTGCGTGTGTTTGTGTGTGCTTGAAAGACTACAGCAAACAGCCAACAGCCAACAGCTGCTAGACGATTCATCAAGTCCAAGTCCAGCGGAAGTGTCACTAGCTGTGCAGCGTCGAGGCGCCACAAGAGGTGCATAAGTAAACAAGGTGTCAACAGGCACGTTTATGATGAAGCTTCTGTCCGGTCGCCACTCTCCAAGGGCCGGATGCCCAGGCACTCCAGCTAGCAGAGTGAATGCTGTACAAGAGATCGCAACGACTTGGCTGAAAACTGCAAAAGAAAAGAGTAGAAAAATCTTCCCCATAATTAAATTCAAACGTCGCGCCAAATGCTAATGACTTGCGCAATTAAACAAATTAGGCAACTAATAATTATTTGCGACAGACAAATTTGACAACAACAAAATAAAAATAAGATGAGAGGGAAGGCATTAGCCAAAGTTAATGCGACAGCCGCAAAAGCTTTCCAAAAATATAAAACCGCATTCCAGTGCCATTTTTCGAAATGCAATATACAAATAAATAAATAATTTATTCAGTGCTTAAACAGAAATAAACAATAAACAATAAACAAATACGGGAATAGCTAGAAAGTTGGACAGACATTTAGTAGTCGTTATAGTACTTCTTGCTATCGCCCGGATTGACGCTATAGAGATCGTAATCGAACTGATCCCACTCGGCATAGCCCTCGCCCTTCGGCTTTGTGTTGCCCTTCTTCAGCTTCTGCAGGGCCTTCTTCTCCCGGGTGATGTCGACGGGATGCAGCTTCTGGCGTATGCGCTGCTCCTCGGCAGTGATGGGCCTTGGCGGACGCACGGGCGTGCTGCTGGCCAGGAACTGTGACTCATCCATGCCCAGGTCGGCGCCCGGACTCATCTCGGCGTCGTAGAATGCGGCAAAGTTCTGCAGCTGCATCGACTCTGCTGGATGGTGATCGTAGTAATCGGGCATTATCAAATTGTAATTGCCCGTCAGGGCCATAGGCGGCTGGGGCCTGGCTGCGTAGGCCAGGATGGTTTCGCTGCCGGCGGTGCTGAGGTCAAAGTTCTTCCTGTTTGAGGTTTTACTGTAGCGTGGCCGGGCTTGACTTGTGGCCAGCATCAGAATCAGACAGCAGCCAAGCAACTGAGGTTGCACAAAATATATTTATATTAATATAGATCGTATATAGTTGAGGTACTGCGAGTGCTTACCATATTCCGAAAACACATTTCTGTTAAATTTGCGAGCTGATAAAATTACTGTGAATGAAATCCACTTTCCAATAATGTTTTTTTTTTATGAATATATAATATTTATAAACAAACTGAAATTTCTTTTTGATTCAATTCAAGTCGATTCGATGCGCGCTACGTCTTAATCGAGCTCTTAAACACGTCTAATGTTCTGAAGCTGGGTGTTTTTATATTTAAGCAGCGCATCAGGTTCAAGTGGAGAGAAAAAACATTTCACTGCTGCTTCTTTTGTTTCTGTTTCTTTCTACACTGTACAGAAAGTGCAAAGGGGTATATTGGTTGAGTGCACGATAAGGTAATATACCTTGAATACATATAAGTTTATATGAAATATATCATAATGTAAAGTAGGTTTACAATGCGGATATTTTCTATAGATAAATGAAATACAGCTCAAATGATAAGGAACTACATTTAACTATATACATATATAGGAATATAAAAAAAAAATAATCATATATATCTACAAACTTATTATATATGTATATTTGGATGGGAATACATCTTGAAATATAGATTAGAAGTTGCCTAGAGTTCCTTTAGTAAAACAGCGAAATTAGAGTACAATTTATAAAATATATTTATATTATAATTCATGAATCTAAAAAAATGTATATAATATATCATCTATTTTCTGCAGTCCCTACTTTAATCTACATACAGTGTATTCAGCAGTCGTTAGCATGCCATTCGAATGTTCTTAATCATTGTGTTGTTTGTTTTGGGTAAATCCGGTTCGCAAGCTCCGATTTCAAACTGTGCGACGACCACTTCAGCTGCTGCTGCTGCCGGTTGCTGCTGCTGCTGCTGCTGCTGCTGCCGGTTGCTGCTGCTGCTGCTGCTGCCTTTGACTGACAATTGGTGTGACTGACACACGCAGCAGACGTCAGGGCAGGTCAGGCAGCAGCTGAATGGATGAACGGATGATTCCAGCGACAAGTCGCGTCATGCATCATGTTGCATGTCAAGCTTACAAGAAAAAAACAACAACAACAACAAGAAATCGAGGTATTTGCGACTGTGCAGCTTATTGTGGCACACATTTGTGAGTGCGTCTGATTCATTTGAATTCGATTGTGTTTTACAAGCAGAACAACAACAACAAAAACACCTTTGTTCAACTGTCTTCAATGAGTTTATTGGCTAATTAATACGCACAAATTAAATGTTAATAAATATTATTATTAATTACACACGCTTTGTACCACTGAACTTTAATGCAGTTTAAGCACTTGATTCACACATACATGCATACATACATACACACACACACATACATTCACACGCATGATTGAAAATTGGCATATCGATCAAAAGGTTTTATAATGTGACATTTTAATATTGATATTTAATTACGAATTTTTTCGCTTGCTGTGCATTGCCTTCAGACTAATTGTCGCTTGCATATATACGTAT